TTTGCGATTCTGCGATTAAACCACGAGTACTTCCCCCGTATATCGTCCGTGGCGAAAAACAAAGCCACGACGTTAAACTTTCCACTTGAATGACCTTGGACTGGAGTCACAAGGCCCGTTCAGCCTAGCGTGTTGCGGCTCGGTTATGGCCTTGACTTTTGGAAGTATTGGTGGTTTCAGGGCCAAGTGTGAGTATAATCTGAGGGCCTCGTCACACGGCCAATGGAACGACATGAAACAAGGCTGAAAGCCGTGAGGCCTGGGGAAGCAATTTTTATGAGGAAAGGTTTGTTTCTTGCCTCTCCGCCACACAGCCTGGACACAATAGCTGACTCACGAGGCCTTTGTACTATTGTTGTGCACATAAACTAGAACGAACCTGTCGAGGGACAAAACCCGGTTGGGACCAATTTCACCTTTATCTGTAGGCTCACAAACTCCATTTGTACCTCGGAGGGCTACACGACTCCTGAGGTAGGCTGCAGTTCAATTCTTGCAAGTTTGCACCAAGGCAGCCTTCTGCCGCCATGCAATTTTTTTCCATATGGGGAAATTGGGAAGATATGTCGTGGTGATCAAAAGAACCATACTGCCTGTTTTACTTCTGTTCACAAACCCTATGATGAAGCCCTGAGTGTGGCCAAAAAGCGTCTGTTATCAAAAGCTTAGGGACAGGCCCCACTGTTAGGCCCTTGCGATATCCCTCTATCCTGGTGGTGGTGAGAGAACCATCAGAATGGAGGGCTTACCTGTCAGGCTGCTCCATCTATTGGTGGGGAGCGGCACCTGCTGGAAACCGGGTCCAGCGTCCTGGCATGTTCATTCTTGGAAAGTACGAGCTTAGCCGTAGAATGGCTACGTTCGTGCTTCTTAGGACCAACATTGTGCCCGTCGACCCGACCGCTTAGCTTGGAGACTGGTGTGGCGAGGGCCCCAGAGGTACGACTTTCTCTCCCGGAGGTGATTGCACCCTCCAGTCCATCTAAGAATCTTACAGGGACCCACCTGGACACCCTTCCAATACCTGTTCAAGCACGTGAGGCTAGCTGTCCTCATGGTCGTCTGGTGCATGAGATGCTCAGCTGAGTGGCACGATGCTGCCTTCCACTACCACCAAGCTAAAGCTGAACTAATAGAGGTCATTCGGGCGAATTTTCTCAAAGCCAGCAGGAAGCTCACGGAAGCGTTGGCGGTGGCACCGGATAAGGACACCAGACGAAAATCAATAACTGCCTTTCGACAGACCAGGCTAGACCCCCACTGCAACATGACGAAGGCGCAGGACAATGGAAAACTGATCTAGAAAAACTGGGCAGCACACAACGACCAGTGGTCCTATCGCCAGCCAGAAAGATATCTGCCAAGCCGCTCTCAAGGAATGCTGGCAGCCCACCGCCCTCCGCTGGACCAGGAGGAGGAAACTCCACTGGTTACATCACAGCCCTCCCAAGCACCCATCCAACAGCAGCCCCCTCTCCCCACAGCCGCCCCTCCCATGCCCCTCC